CTGTCCAAATTCCTAATAAGAGTGCTTAATCGATTAGGTTAGTCATGGAGAAAGCATAATAGTACAAATTCTCCTCAAAGTGTGTATTCTAACTTTAATTCTGCATGAGAAAATTTCTTCTTACTGTTCACAATTGAAGCTTTCTTCTGCGAAGTATTATTTCTTAAGAAAAGCCAAGGTTAGCACCCCACATTTCCTGTAAGGCTGGGACACCCGCCAGCTTCTCATCAACAACAAGGCCTGGACACAAAGCAGGCTGCGTCTCTGCAGCTATCTGATTTTTAAGACCGTGAGGAGGTATAAGAGCTCATGACGGAAATCAGCCAGCATCAGACATTTCTTTTTTTTTTTTTGTTTTAAAAAACAACAACAAAAAAAATAAAAATGATGAAACAGAATTTCAAAATATAATAGAAAATTAACAATATTTAATATATTTCATATTGTTATCTTTAAAGTAGTTCAGATTATGAGATTTAAGCATCAAAAAATTATCAGACAATCAAACAATGACAGCACAAACTGTTCTTTTTGATGAACTAACAAAGATTATAGCTACCTAAATTGTATATATATCTTTTCCCTTCTTTCTTTTCTCGCTTCCTTCATTCCAGTTCTTTCCTTGTGAGCATATTCTTCCCCTTTCATTTTCACAATATCTGTTGTACAGACCCTTTTGGTAGTTTTACACCAAGGAGACAATATGATATTTACCCACGTGAGTCTTATTTATTTCACTTGTGGGTATGGTTTCAAGCTGCAAACGTATACCTAAAAAAGCCTCAAGTTTATCCTTATATATAATTGAGTAATACTCCATTGTTTGAGTATACCACATCTTTTTATCCATTTCTCAATTGATGGGCATTTGGGTTGTTTTCCAAGATTTAGCTATTGTACATTGTGCTGCTATAGATATGGGTGCACGTGTGATGCTGTGGTGTTGAATTCTACTGGGAAAATAACCTGGAAGGGGAATAGCTGGATTGAATGGGACCTCCAACCCTAGTTTTTTGAGGAATCTCCACAGTGGAATGTCAGACTTTTCTGTGATCTAAAATTTTCCAATTACATTTAAAGCCAAGCATTTCTAAAAAGTTTAAAAGATTCTTAAATTCCTTTTGCATCTACAAAAACACTTGTAACTTCTACATTTCAATAAAACTAAGATATTTGCTCTAAATATATAGTATGTCATATATTTTATATTTCATATTATATATCATACATCACAACATATCAGATAACATGGTCAGGGTTTCAGTGGTCATAAATTCATTACAGTAAGGCCCACTGCCTTTACCCCTCCCTCCTACGAGCACACTTATCCCATCCTCCCACCTTTCTCTGGAGCAGTCCTGCAAGTCCTCGTCCTGAGCATCTGCACCGCACTGTGCCCTGCTCTCCTGCCTCTATCAGCACATTTACCTGTGACGGTCCTTTTCCCTCTGGTGAAGTCCAGAATTTGCACAGTACCAGGTCCGGGGAATGGAGTGGATAAAGATACATTATGGTGGTTTTTTTTTTTTTTTTACAGAAATCGCCTTAAATGTTTGACCATTCATCAAAAATTTAAAATTCACTAAAAGTCCAAGAAAGTTTATTAAAAGTAAAAGGCACATTGCCATTCATTCTCCTCTAAAGATTCTAAAGACGCCTTGCTCTGAATGCATTTACACTGTTGTTCTGGGACATTTGTCTTTTACATCACTAAGTTAAAAATTTTAAGCATTCCCAGGAGATTGATCACCCTTTGCATAAACCCTTTTTATAAAGAAAAAATGTTACATCAGGGCCAGGAGTTCTTTAAGGGGACACCTTTTCCTAGCAGAATTCATTTAACAATGTCAGAGATACTTTTGACTATGTTAACTGGAGGTGCGGTACCCATAGCATTTAGCATGTGACGTCTAGGGGCCCTGCTAAATATTCTACATGGCACAGCCCAGTTCTGCCCAGTAAGGAACCATCTGTTCCACAGTGAAGTCTAAGTTAGGAAGTTCTGGTCCAGAAATAGCTCCATGCCTTGTGTTTAGTGCTGCTTGCAGAGTTTCAGGTAGCAAAGCTAAGTGGGAAATTCAGCCTCACTGGCATTTCAGAGGAAAACCTCCTTTTATGGAACCTCACATATAGAGTTTGGCTCACTGATTTTACATTTGGGAAGTCTCTCAGAGGACTGTGGTTTTCCACTGGGTTTGTGTTCTTTGCATTGGGTGAGCACTGACTCCTACTCTTTAGCTCTTAGGGAGGCTGAGAAGAGAACTTTCACTCCTCTCCACTTTCTAGGGTTGTTACAAATCTACAGTCATCTCATCCTTCACACATCTCTGCAACCAATTCAAGTCACAAGCAAGGAGAACAAAGGTAAGAAAGAGAAGAAGTAATATGCTGTCCAGAAACCCTGAAGCAGCGTTTGCTGATCCCTAGTGGAGTTATGGAAAGTTAAAATTCACTGAAATTTTAATCAGTGGATAAAAATATGGGGAGTTGTACATCTTGTGTTACATGCCACAAATGTGAGACCACAGATATCGACTTATACTTGCATATGTCCATTGGCATTGAGTCTCCAGGATCCTGTGTGATTATTCACCACAGAGAGCCTCTTTAAGTGGTTATCACTGGTGAGCAGCAGGAAGCCACAAGTCAGCCCAGTCACAGCCCTGACCCATTCACCCATTCATGCATTGGGATACCTTGAGCACAACTGATTGGGAAAATGTGTATTTTATCCCTTCCATGGGAAAAAAAAATCCACGTGCAATTAGCATACTGGCATGACTTTGCCACCCATGAAAGAAATCACCACATGCAGAGAAAGCTTGTTTGATTTTTAATATAATTTCCATTCTGGTGACAGTGCAATTCAAGAAATGCAATTACTAACTTATCCAGAGAAACCACAGGCTGCCTATCTCTATTTATTTCTACTGCTGGTCTTGATTTTCTTCTTTATATTTTCTGTTCCACATTATGGACCAGAGTGTAATTGTTAATTCACTTACCTACTGATGAATAGAAAAAAGGACAAAGGAAAAATTCACATGGCGTAAGAAACCAGAATCAATTTTTCTTGGACTTTACTGAGAAGCCCACTCTATGGCAACCCCCGCTCTCTCAATTATTTACAATACAAAAGAACAATCATCATATTGATGCTGTGGTAACACATTGCAGTAACTTAAGGAGCTCGGTGACAAAGTGGATGTGGGGACCACTGACCTCCCCAATATCTTCTTCACCCAGGCTAGAAAAGCCAACCATGAGTCCATATTTTAGACACAATCCCATGTGTTGCCATTGAGAAATATGAAATTTAGGGGTACAGAATTCACGTGTGATAACTTGAGTTTTAGTCTCAGTTTAAAAAATTGCAGCAGTTAATGACTTACTTCAGCATTAGTTTGCCATCCATAAAATGGGAGTAGAAATTCTGTCTCTTTTATTTATCTTGTTATTAAGAATATTTGAAATGCCCTAATGCACTCAGCAAATGGCATTCCAATATGGGAATATCCATCATTGGCATTTCCATCATCAAACTTTTGTGATAATTACTTCCTACAGATCTAGTACAGGCAATCACAGTAGATCTAAAGGAAGTAAAGATGATCCTTATTTTTTCATTTAATTAGAAAATCTCATTAAAATTAAATGTACTGCAATAAAGGCAGGTATGAAGCTACCATTAAGTTTCTTTGCTTTAACCAAATACTCTTCAGAGCCTGTGATAATTCTCTCATGCTACTTGGGCACAGTATTTGACACTTGAATGTCTTTTTCTTAAAAAAGAATAAACCAATCAATCATTTTATGTAGTTTGGTTTGTTGATAACATCCCCAAATATGAGCACAATGATGCAGATATAATTCACTGATTTCTGTGTTGAATAATTTACGTAGTTGTGAATCAGGGTATGTATCCTAGGTGGTGTCATAGATATATCAGTCAGGATGGAGGATAACAAATGGGCTAACATTTAAAAAACATGATCCATCTGGGGATTTAGCTCAGTGGCATAAGTGCCTGCCTTGCAAGCCTATGGTCGTGAGTTCAATCTCTGGTACCGGTAAAAATACAAAAAAAAAAAAAAAAAAAAAAAAATGATCCACATTCAGAAATTTTTAAACATGAAGAGAAGAAAATAACAACCTTTTCTGCATTTTTCATATCAGATAAAGATAATTCGTCCTTCATTTAATACCTGTAATAGGAATAATGACAAAGAATTCTATTTATTATCTGTGCTATAGAAGGCATCAAGTGTGATATACAAAAAAACCACAATGCAGAGATTTAGTGCTAAGAAAATGCAAGGGAAAGTAAATTTAAATACTTACTTTCACAAGTCATAAACCCCTTGCATGCACTGACATGCACATGGATGAACATCAATTTGATTTTTAACACAGACTGAACTTTTCCAATGAGTAAGAAAAAAGCTTTCTCTGCATAGTGCCAAGTGCAAACACCACATTTAGTGAAGATTGAAAGCTACACATCACGAAATTTTACTAGTACTAATTGGCTTGTTATCAGGTCCATGAATGATAACATTCCTAATGAACCAATATTAGAATACATTCACAAGCATGCAAATAATCTTGCTGCTAGAGTTATTTAATGCACTTTTATGCAAGGAGCATGTGCCCCTAGTTAGATTCTGTTGATGCAGCAGATTATTATAATTCTAATAGGCCCATATAATGCTACTCAACTGATGGTAAGTGGGGCAGGTCATTTCATCAGGCCTTATCTCTAATTAGCACTAAAAATGCACTGCAAACTATAGCAGAGAAACGACTTGACTGGAAGGGCAAATAGAGCTTTATCTTCAGGGGGAGGAAGCCTATCATGGTTCAACCAAAAACTGACCCTTTGAGAGAATCACACTCACCATCAGTCACCGTGTATTACAGAAACCTGTCCCTGCGTAGAAAAGGAGCCTCCGCTCTTCCCACGTCATCCTCCCCACCCTGAAAACACCAGGCCAGATTACCTTTCTCACAGTGGCTTCCTGTGAATCCAGATGGACAGGCACATTTGTTAGGAGCCACGCATGTTCCACCGTATCTGCAGCCCTCTTCACAGAATGCTGTTGGGAAAGAATGGCTCTGCTTAGATAAAAAGCAGTCAGGAAATTCACGGGAAACCTATGAGTGTTGGACCTCTTTTTGTGGTGTCAGGGAACACACACATCTGTAGTTGGCAAAGTAAGAGTTTCCAAACATAAAAAGAAATCAGTTTTATAGTACCTATTTCACTTTTTAATCAACTGAAATCATGGACAAGGTGTTTCTTACAGGTTTGGCTGTGCTAAATGCTGGCTGTCATGAGCAGCTACTGCTGTTGCTGTTATTATTGATATATCTGAAATCAAATAAGAGAATCCAAGAAACTAGGAGGGTAAGATCTGGGGGAAGGCAAAGCCTTTTCCAGTGCTTATGATTTTATACCACATTGTCTTTCACCAACCATCTTTTATGATATTTTTTTTTGCTTATAAGTAGGAGTTTTTGGTATTTGATAAATTTTTATAACATCATAATTTAACTCCTTATTTTTATCTAAATAAACCATTTCCAATATTTTGGTACTAAATCAATGAACTGTTTTTGTAGTTACAGTGCTTAGTGTACCTCTAAATGATTTGTCTGGTGAAAAGGCCTCAGTGCACCAAAGCTGCTGAAGAGAAGGAGGACTATGCCACTTCATAAAGCTTTCAGAGTTACCAGCTCCATCCCAGGGCTACCCTGCTGACCTGTGCAGATCTGCTGACCTATGAAGATCATGTTAGCTCCCCCTGTATGCAGCACTCACAACAGGACAGCATAGCAGCCCACCCCTCTCCACTGCAGCATTAAATACAATCGTCCATTCACACAGAACTGGTTACCACCTACCAGCTCATCCACTCGACTGTGCAGCCCACAGGACAAGTAGCAAAATTGCTTTTGCTCACCACTCAGTCCTAGTTGTATCTGACTACATAGCAAATCTCAAAAAATATTGTTTTGAATTCTTTCATAGCTATTCTGCAGATTGAAGATAAAAAGCTCTTGTTATAAGAATTCTGAATCACTTCCAATCAGCATACCGTACTGTCTCTTATTGTTAAACAACCAATAAGTCAGCATACTATAAAATACATTTAAAATAATATCAGTGAAGATGATTGGAAGCATTAATCTGGAGTAGCTTTTATTATGGGAGACAAATGTTTTAAATTTTAATTGCAGTTCAGAAATATCACCCACCTGAAAAAACTGCCATGGTTGTATTGTGCTACTGGCATCATCACATAATCAATGTTAGTTTAGCTTTAAGGAATTAAATTATTTGTTTAGTTGAATACAAGTCCGAGTACCCAGAACTTGTCCCAACAATGTCATTTCCATTTCCTATCACTTGGATTATTTCACGCCCTTGCTTCAGCAATTAATTATGAACTTCACTGCCCGTCCCTGTAAGAAGTGTACACCATGAAATGCAAACACCCTATCCTTAGTACACTTAACCAACGCACAAAAAGAATTATATAGTTTTTACCTTGCTATGCTCATGACAAAATGTAAAACATATAAATATATATGCAAAATCACTTGTCCCAAAAATTACATATTGTGTGCTCTGGGGACTAACATTTCAAATAACATATTTAAAGTATTGCTCTGCATAGAAGTGACTAACAAAAAAGGACAGGGCTTTTGCAGTTTAAAAATGACAGGAAAATTTTGTAAAATAAATACACAAGCAGCATAAAAGAGGCCAGATCTTTGGAAATTGAAAGCTCAGCTTAATTTTCTTTTTAAAAATTTTATTACTGCATGTTAGTATTGTATAACAAGGGCGTATATTGTGGCAGTGAGTATACACATTTAATATTTCTTAATAATTTCAGTCCCCTTTGGCCCTCTCCCTTTCCTCCTGTCTCCCTCTTGATCCTTTCCTCAGCGCCAGCATTCTACCTCTCAGTTTCCATTGTATCTCTGTTATTTTAATCAGTTATTTATTATTTTATGCATTTTCTCATATTAGCAGACAACATGAGATATTGAACTTTCTGAATCTAACTAATTTCACTCAACATGACAGTTTTTAGTTTAACTTTTTAACAGTACAAATGAAACAGCGTTTCATCTAGACTCCACACACCTAGTCAGAAGACTGTGTGATATTGCACTGTTGATAGATGATCATGATGTACTGAACCTGTAGTTAGAATTAATAGTAGGAGGTGTCGCATGGAAAGCATGAGATGCTTGTGACTGTACACACATCATAATCAAAACCCTACATGAGGATAAAATGAATTGACATTTGTAGGAATGTAAAAAGTGTTTGGCACATAGTTGCTGCTATACAAGTGTTTTGTTTATACAAATCCTGTTGGCAGCAGTGTCATTGTGGCTGTGAACAAACTATCCAAGACCCAAATAATATAAACCCATCCTACAGGATGCACAGCTTCATCAAGATGAGTTAAAGTCATCTACTGTGATTCATGATTGATTTATTACAAATAAGTAAATCAGGCCTTGGTGTGGAGATATAGATTTTAGTGTTTCATACAAAAACAAAAGGTGAGACAGAAACTATGAAGTCAGGTGCCTTGTCTAGGACCACATGGCTACTAAGCAAAGGAATCTCTACCTTAAAAATCTTACCTCTTTTTCATATGTTACAATTCAGGTTTGTCTATAATTTCGTATTCACATAGATAGATTTACTCTTTTTTGAATAATTCAACTGCAGCAGAAATAAATAAAAAATAAGAGAAAAATATACTCAGATATTATGGATTACATTAAACAATTGGTGGCATGTAAAAATTAATGAACCTATTAGTACATCACTTTGTCTGGGCCTTATAATATTTACAATAAATCTAAATATGTGTCTATTTTAAATGGAATTTACTTGATGTAAACAAAGCTTTCATTAACTACTTGAGTATTAGATGGCATGAAAAAATAATTTTAAAAACCACAAAAAATAATGAAGTTGTGAGCCATCCATAACTTAAAAACTCTGGGGAATGAATATTAAAACAATTGTTCTTTGAACATCTCATAAAATATCCAATTAAACTGTTGCATTTTGCTCTGAAGTTGGTGGGTGGATTCTTTCTACTGGATAGGGTATGTTCAACCAACAGTGCACCCAGCATGTGAAAACAAAGGACTCTGATACTCAGGGGACATTCAACGTATATAGTGTTACTTGTTGGGTCAAAGTTACAGAAAGAAGTCAGGTCACCACTGCCCTGTCTTGCAAGTTTGTGAGTAAATGGGCTATTAGAAACTAGGATCCAAATGCTTATTCTCAATTTATTGATTGTGTAACCTACAACAACTCATTTCACCTCTTTTTCCTCCATCTCAAGCAAAGCAATGATTAATACTGATAGCACTAATGTGAAAGTTAAACTCACCAACATTAACCACAAAGTACAGTGCAAAGCAACTGGAATGTTCTTAAGAACTGGAGGAAACTGCCATTTTTGTTATCATCAGGAATCTTCTTTTCAAGACAGCAATACTGGGATAGTTAAACTGGATTTTCAACTTGATAGGCTTGAGAGCAACTCAGGAAAGAAACATAGTTTGTGTATATTTTTGTAGGTCATGGTCCCTTCCTCTCTGGCATAGTTACTATTTTTTGCTTCCTCAGCGACATAAAATGAACACTATTACTCTAACATACACTTCTGCCAGGATATTTTTGTTATGCAGAGAGCTGATCATTGGCTGAACCTGCAGCCATAAACCAAATATACTTCTCCTCATTTAGGTGTGGTGGTGAATATTGAACCCCAGTGATGAGAAAGTTGACCAGTCTAGAATATGGGCACCAGCAGTGGAATCACTGCTGATCATGCAGCTCAGAAGCCTTTGAAACTGGTTTACTGGAGGAGTTTGGCAAAGTTTATAGATCCCAGCTAGAGAAGCCCCAGAATATTCCAAGCAGAGCTGGGTGGGGAATTATCGTCAGAGCTCAAAATTCTATAATGTTGGTAAGAATGCCAATGGTAAAAGGCCAGGTTGATGAAGTTTGACTTAGGAATGAGGACTATATAGGGAACTAGCCTAGAGGTAAATCATGTTAAAGTCTGGCAGAAAATTTGATATTTTTCTTAAGTCCTGAGATTCTGCAGGATGATCACTTTAAGGGAAGTGGACTAATTGATCTGATGGAGGAATTCAAAGGCATATCAATGTTCATGCTATGCCTGAACACGCTATGCCTGTATAAAATTATGATCAACAGCAAAAATCATGTTTTAAAGCATAAATTAGTCATAAAAGTTGAATTTTGTCCTTGAGCCACATGTAAATTTGGTTGCTATAGAGACACACACTGCTAATAAGACCACAAAATTTTGAACCAGGAGAAGGATGCCTTGATGGCATCTGGTGCACCTAAAAGAATCTACTAATTACAGATTCAAGGTTGAAAAAAGAGTAAACAGTTTATCTGAGAAGACATCCCTCAAGACCCCTGTTCAAGAAAGATGAGCTAGAACCTTTGCATAATTAATTTAGACATGCTCTACAATCCACGGGCTCAGTGGTTTTGGCAGCTATGATCTAAGGGAACCAAGCCACTATTTGAGCTCTCACAGATATTGGTATAGCCTGCATAATGCTGACTTTTCAGCATGCATAATACAAGAGTTGTAGGATCACAAAAGCTTCCACCTAGATTTCAAAGGAAGAACTGGAAAACCAGGCAAAGGGAACCTGAAGGAGGATGTGGGCATAAATCCAAAGATGAAGTAGTGACCTTGAAGGTACAAAGAACATGAACTTTTTTAGGCTATGGTCTGTAAAATCATTAGCAATAGGGATGCCGAGTCTTCTGGGACTCATATCTCACCACCACACACTCAGATCTTAGACAGGGAGCAATAGTTTTAAAGTTTCCCCTGCTGGGTTTCAGTCTTACTTTGGTCCCCTCCTTTTCTATTAGAACAGTAATATTTACTGGTATCACTGTATTGAAAATAAGCACCTTACTTTTTGAATTAAGGGTTTACAGCTAGGAGGTTTCCTTAAGTCTTTGAGAAGACTTTTACTTTGGTTTTGAACAATG